CCCCTCCCCCCACAAAAAAAACACACACATCATTCTTGCTTGACATGAGGAGGATGTGTTTGTGTGTGACAAATCACCAACATTTCAAGAAATGTTAAAAAAATCCGAACCCATAATTATAAAAACACAATATAATTAAAGCTAGGTACCTTAGACGTTGAACTAATCGAGTTTAAATTTTGAATCTGCCTTTGTGCTTGATAGCCCTTTTAAGTATTGTATACTGTCTTCAATAGGGGCTTGATGTCATTATTTCTGTTTCATTGCAGCGTTAGCAAGGTATCAAATGCCGAATCAATACGCACAAGAATAGCTGAAGCAAAGTGAGAAGCGAGGGCAAGGGAAATTAAATTAGACCTGAGTTTTCCAACTTGAGTTGTAAATATGATAGTTATAACTAGATTGTTGCACTACATTGACCAGACTCTGCACCATTTGGCCGCAAAGTTGCTATTCAGTACAGATTATTTAACTGGCTTAACCAGCAATATAGAGCTAAAGTGACTTGATAGTTAGTGAAGACATTGTCTCATTTTCTTATTTTGTACCCTTATCCTGTATATAGCAATGATGCTTCTCTTTTGTAATGAGAATTTTGGTAATAATACTTACTTCTTTCTGGCGTTCCGTGCATGCTGCCAGTTTCCGACTAATTCTGGTTTTCTGCATTAAAGGGGAAATTGTTCCCTGTCACGATTTTGTTCTCAAAATTCATATTCGGACCTTTGATTATAGATAGAGGAATCTATCTTTCCCACCACAATTTTTGGAGGTATTATTTTGTTTAGTAAAACTAACTAAAACCAATATAAAAAGAAAGAAAAAAGATTGTTACTTAAAAGGGAAAAAAATAAGAAAAGAATTGTAACGGTCCATAACAAATTATAAGAATCCAAAGAACACAAAGCACGGCCCACGTCCCTTTTCCGTTAAGAAAATTTGGCGCTAAATCTGACCTGGCACAGTAAACACATCAGCCTCCACCTCAGCTTTCCCGGGAATTGGCGCCAATTCTACCCTGGCATTGTAGCCACGTCAGCAATCCCGCCAAAAAATAAATCCTACTCAATATATAGTTCCTCACGCCGTACATCGTCAATCTCTTCAACTTTCCCTTCTAAGCTCTAACAATTTCTCATCAGTTTTTCATTTGTTTTTACAAATTGTTTTTATTTTTTTTCTATTTCTCATTAATGGAGTCTGCTGATTCTTCATCACTCTTGGGTACATTCAAGTCAAAGAAGAAACTGCAAATGGGATCCGACCCGGTTGTCTCCGGGGCTCCATCTCTTGATCCATGGAGCTCGAAAACCCCTGAGAAGCACATCATTCCTCCTCGCCGGACTCGGAATCGGAGTGCCGCGCTTTCTTTAAAAGAAGTCCGAGAAGCCGCCCAGAAGCTCCGGAAACCCGACCCGACCCACCCGATTACACAGGCTGATGCCTCATTGAGCTCCGGGAAGTCCCCGGCAGTTAAAGCAAAGAAGGTTGTAGACCCAGTAAAGCTACCAGAAAAGTAAGTTTTTTTTATATACGCTATATTAATGTGTTATTGGACAGAGACACGGATCCCGAATTTTAAATTAGTGTATATTGATTAGGATTACACGCAATAATCAGAATGAGATATTTGTTGAATTTTTGTAAAATTTACTAATATATACATGGGTTTAGTTGAATCTGGTGAAGCTAAAATGCACCGGCCTTTGTATTAATCGAAATTCAGAAGCTTAAATTTCTAGGTTGATATATAATTCGAGTTGAAGGCGGTGGATAAATTTCCAGGATGTGTTTTATATTTTTGGCTTTCCAGTATATATGCAAAAGCACATTTATAGATATTTAAAATTTTGTAACTATATATAGTTCGAGTTGGCCCCAACTAGTTTGAATTGAGGCGTAGTTGCAAGTTTAACGGTGCGCCTAGATTGCTGGCATAAAGTTCCATCTGTCCTTGTTTTCAGATTTTCAAAGCTGGGATTTTCCAATGTCTTTTTTCTCACCTTTGCTGAGCTGAGTTTCTATTAAAAACAGCCTCTCTACCTTCACCAGGTAGAGGTAAGGTCTGCGTGCACACTACCCTCCCAGACCCCACTTGTGTGATTATGCTGGGTTTGTTGTTGTTGTTGTTGTTGTTGTTGGATTTTCCAATGTTTTCTGTTTTTTGGTTTTTAACATTAGTGTGTTTGTGTAGGTATGAGTTGTTGGAAGAATTCTTCAGAAGCTTGAATAGTTCGATTCGGTTGCTGCGATTGAAGGGTTCTTTGACGACATTTACAAATATTAGTACCAAAGTGGAGTGTCTAACAGATAGGTAAGCAAATGAATATTTTGAATACATTTTTGTCGATGATTTCCTCCATCAATTATTGCTAATTGCCTAATTCTGTGGCTCTGTGTTAAATGTGCAGGAGGTTTACTTACACTCACTTAGCACAGCTGAAGTTTCTTTTACCCGAGGCTATTGAGATCAAGAAGATTCTTGTGCATGACGAACACACATACTGTATGAAGCCTGATCTTCATATTACATTAAATGCTAATGCAGTTGAATTTGATGAAAAGCTGAAATCCACTATTGGCACTGTACAACTGGAGAAAATCTTCTGTGCTCGGCTTTTGGATTTCTTTAAATCCCACCCTGAGGTAAGAGAGATTTTAACTTGTGCAAGTTTTTACAATCGAGAAATTACTTGGCGATGATATGTTGAGAGTACATTCTTTATTATCCTATAGGTCCAAGTGGCGTTTTTCGTGTATTTAATATTTATAGATTTCAAAATTTATGTTGTCTTGAAACCATCAGCATAGTTTGAGATGTTAAGCCAACTCTGTGAGACAATGTTAATTCGAAGCGTACCAATAATCCTGTCTGTTATTAACAAAACTAGTGTTGCAATATCCCTTTACTGCCTTGTATCTTTTGCTCCCTGAATTCCTACAAAAGAAGGTAAAAAGAATAAGTGATATTTAGATGTTTTGCTTTCTCTACAAAACTAGTGTTCTTAACAAATGCTATTTCTGAATTCAGGGAGATGACATTCCTGAGGAAGCATTACCCGGAGCATTCGGTGAGTCAAAGCAAGATCTCTTAACAAACTCATCAACACGACCTGCAGTCTCACAGTTAATGGGGGAGACACTGATTGCTTCAATGCAGAAGCAGGCAGCAGCTGCATCTCACCTGTCTCAATCTTTCAGGAAATCGTTTTCTCATCGAGCATCTATTGCTAAAGCAGAAGATACCGAGCAACTTCAAACAGTTCCTCGTTCTTCACTTCGTCCAGTCTCAGAACCCCAGATTGCCAAAAATTCCGCTGAGAGCCACACCTCTACATCTGCCGATAAAACTCCTTCCAAATTGCTTTCGACACAAACTAGCAGAGCAAAATTCTCGGCACGAGGGGTACTTTCTGGTACTTTACCACCATCTCCTTTACCCACAACTCCATTAAAAAACATGAAGGGTGGAGATGGTTCGTCTTTATTAAGTGCTGACGAAACTCCAGCAAAACATACATCTACACCAGCAAAATTGATGACTTCTACACCTGTGCTCCAACCTACCAAGAGATGTTATATGAGTCCGGATGGAGAATTAACTGAATCACCACAAAAGCTAGTTAGGCGCCCTCCTCGTATTAGGTCATTGACCTTTGATACTCCTGTGAAGAGTTCAAAAGTTACTGAAGTCATCGCTAGTAGAGAATCGTCAACAGATGATGAAATCTTTGACATTCTTCCTGAGAATCTTCTGCAATCGGTAAGACACGAAAGAACTTTTCTTCCAAGACACCATTTCCTTGTTGATAGTATATAATTTTGACTAATTTTGCATGGCATCATTAAATTAAAAAAAATGATCCATTGAACTGAGAAATTAGGAAATCTATATTTCTTGGTCTACTTCTAAAGGTTAGCGGCTAAATGTTTCATGGATCTGCAGATCAGAGAAAAGGAGCAAAAGCAATTAGAGGAGAAAGATCCAGCTATATCCCAAGCGAAATGGCGCAAGAAAGTGATTTCGAGCTTACCTAAGTTCTTCGACATGATTTACTTCCTATTTCAATCAATTAAACGTTCTGTGATTACTAAAGAGGAGCTTATGCACAAAGTACTTTCAAGCCATCTAGAGATTACTGATAGAAGTAAGTCTGGTGGTTGATAATCGTTTAAAAACTTGGAGTGCTTTGACATTTTGAAGTTGCTTCTGACTTGAAACCTTTGTCTTCTTTCTTTGCAGGAGAAGTTGAAGAGCAACTCCGGTTATTGCTAAAAATAGCTCCTGAATGGATCCATGAAAAGGTGGCATCTAGTGGGGATCTTCTCTTGTGGTAAGCTTTGGTTCTTCCTTGGCTTACCCCTCCCCNGGGCGTGACATAAAACTAAAATTTCAAGACATGTTAGAAATCCGAACCATAATTTCAAAAGTACAATATAATCAGTGTTAAGAACCTGAAACGTTGAAGCGATCAAGTTTATGCTTGACGACCCTTTTAAGTATTATATGCTGTCTTGTAATTCTTAGGAGCTTGATGCCATTATTTTTTGTTTTCGTTGCAGTGTTAGCGAGGAATCAAATGCTAAATCAATACGCACAAGAATAGCTGAAGCAAAGTGAGAGTAACAAGGTGCAAGGGAATTTGAATTCGGCCCGAGTTTTTCAAGTTGAGCTTGTAAATGATAGTTTGTTTAACTAGATTATTGCAATACATTGACCTACTCTGCAGAATTTGGCTGCAAAGCTGCTGTTTAGAACAGTTTAATGTCATTTTACTGGTTTAGCCAGCAATATAGAGTTAAAGTGGCCTTTTTGTTATCCTGTATATAGCCATGAAGCTTCTACTTTTGAATAGAATTTGGTAATAATACTCTTAATGTAGATTTTTGTGACTTCTTCTATATTGTCATTGTCGATATATTTTTTTCCTCGACTTAATTGTATCATCGGGGTATTTAATCCTTTAATTTTCTCATTTTTCGTTGGAGTTATAACAACCTTAATCTGCCTTAGCTTTATGGTTTATTAAAGTAATAATTTGAAATGATCATAGTAATAAGGAATTTGCGATAACACCATTACTACTGTTTGTGGTGTTCATAAAACCTGAAAAATCGAATCAAACCAACCAAAAAAACCTATACTTTTTTGGTTTGGTTTTGTTTTGGATTTGAATTTTAAAAATCGATCAAATTTGATTTTATTTTGGTTTCAATCAAAAAATAACCGAAAAAGTCGAACCAAACCGACTATTGAAGTAGCTATTTAAAATTTATTATTACACCAATATATATGTATATTTTTATACAAAATTTCTAAAATTTAATGGTACATGTTAATCGTTTGCACTTTTAGTCTAGTTCTTTGCTATTATAATAATCTAGTTCTTTGCCTTTACATTTTAGTTTGATTGTTAGTTTTCTTTTGCTAAGTACAAGGCTCTATTTCATGTTAAAAATAATTTATTTTTAATTGAGTCCTTAAATTATTCATCACTATTTGATTCAATTATCATCAATATATCTTGGTAAATGATATATTTCTCAAAGAGCAATTGGTTTGATATTGTTCCAGTATTACGTTGAAAATGTAGTCGCCAGAAAATGTTTGGCAGTGTATGTCTCATATTTAAGAAAAAATTGATAAATAACCGAAAACCGCGAAAAAACACAATATAAACTGAATCGATAAAAAACCGACTTAATTGATTTGGTTTGGTTCCAATATTTAAAAAACTGACTTACTTGATTTGGTTTCTTTTTAGGAAAAATACGAACCAAATCGAACCATGAACACCCCTAACTACGGTAACCCGTATGAATTAGTAGTAAAATTCAAAAGGATTTTCAAAAAAATTCTTAAAACTTAAGCCAAATGATTTCAAATAACATCATTAGGTGACTTGATACACTTAATGTTGAGGGATAAATTTAATTTTTTTCTTTCTCGACGTCAAGTTCACCCGTTTTGTATTGAAGCTTCCTTAATGGCAAGGGAAATACAAGAGGATTTGCTAATTACCAGAATATACAAAAACTAAAAGATTAACAGATAAAAAAATTGAGCAATTTCAAATAGTATTGAATTTTTTTATAGGAATTTCTCGTGAAACAAATATTGTTTCAACTAATTTATCAACAAAAAGATTTAAAAAAAGAAAAAAGGAAAGAACGTCAGTTATTTTTTTTCCCGTAGTTACTACTCCGGCTTCTTCTTCTCCGGCGTTTGTCGTTCAGCTCCAGGTATATATTCCGGCCGGATTTTGTCATTTTCGTGATTAGCACGCAAATTTTTAATTGATCTGTTACCTCCACAACCTAGGAATTTAAAATTCACGAATTTTCAATTGATCGTTCACTTTTCATTGAATTTTAATTGCAAAATTAGTGATCAATTATTGCGATAAACTTACAGATTCGCAGCTTCTGATTCGCCGGAAAAAATTCACAGCCGGAGTTTCAACTTGAATAGATTGATATGAATTCGCGAAGGTTTGTGAACCGTCTAGTTTTAACCCTATTTATGGGCTTTTTTTTATTGATTGTTTCGTGCATTAGAGATCATAATAGCGCTCAAACTTGCTAGTTTCTCGAGGTGGAAAAGAGCCTTAGATTTTAGAATGTGTCATAATATAAGATTAGGTTGGTTTAGCTTTTTCTATTCCTATTGGTGCTAGCTATCACTCATTCAACCTCGAATTTCTGAAAGACTATGTTCTAGTGCCCTTAAATGGATGCAAATTTTTAGTATTATGAGCGAATTCCTGTTTGTGTGTGTGGGCTTTTTATCACCCCGCCTTTTCCTCTTTTTAAATGGTACAACACTAACAACACACCTAGTGCAATCCCACAAGTGGGGTCTGGGGAGGGGTAGTGTATACGCGGACCTTACCCCTACCTTGTGAAGATAGAGATGCTGTTTTCGAAGACCCTCGACTCAATTTTACAACATATTGACATCACTTTTTAAATGGTATGAGATGTAAATATGCGGTTCAGGCTTGATCCAATTTTAGTATCGTACCTTGACATTTGTCCACAGCATAAACTAGCCCCTCTCCTTTGTCATATTGGCCTTGTCGGTCGGGCCAGTTTTTTACCTTTACCTTTACCTTGCTCCTGTCCTCTGTGCCTGTTCCTTATATGGATGTGAGGGTGGGAAACCTTCTTACTATCGAAACCGCTTTTTGTGATGTGTTGTTTAATCTTCTTTGCATCCAGCTTTCTCGGAATTCATTGATAATCCTTGAATTCAGGGAACGTAGCAGTAGAGCTGCTCTATTTGATGGAATTGAGGAAGGTGGTATTAGGGCTTCTTCATCATATGATTCGCGCGAAATTGATGAACACGAGAAGGAGAGGGCAATAGATGGGTTGCAAGATAGAGTTAATATGCTCAAAAGAGTAAGTTTTGCATACCTGAAAGCTCTTAGTTTTTTCAGCCAACATTTGAGTTTTTATATGATCAATGTTTCTTTATATGGTCAATGTTTATGGGTTAAGTTGCAATACAGAACTTCCTCGGTTGTCCTCACTGAAGTATACACCCTTGGTCATGGGTGTCAAGGGTTGATTGAGGCTTCAATGGTGCAAAACTTAGGAAGCCAACTATTTGAGATGAGATAACTTATAAATGCTCTTTCATTACTGGAGGCTGTTGCTTTACTTAACTGACAACTGTATTTGTAAATGCATATACACACACTTTCCTCTTTATATTTTTGTTCATCATAATGACTGATGCTTTTGGGTGTCGAGGATCTTGCTCTCTCAAGATCACCACTGGGAAAATTTGATTATACCATGTGTAGAAATTCTTCTATAAGATCCTAGAATTTGTCACCTTGAGCACATTCTCTTAGAAGTCGTTCTTTTTTGTGTAATTACTCAGAAAGAAAATAAAGATAATCACATGAATCTTTAAAAGCTGGCACTAAGAGGTTCCTGATTTCTCCATCGAGTTATCTTGAGAATGTGTAATTTTTGGTGATTGTTCAATAGGTTAGAGAAAACCTGTTCTCTTCTGGTGCAACTTAAGTATTTGAGTCTTTTAGTTTTCGTTTTCCTGCTAGTATTGTCATTCTAAATGAGTTATTGTGTACATCAAGTGAAACAACTCGCTATTGAAGTCGATAATGAGATATTGAACTTAGTGAAACTTACTCTTTTAGTCCTGATAATGCTTTATACCAACAGTTGACAGGTGATATACATGAGGAGGTGGAGACTCATAACCGGATGCTCGATAGAATGGTCAGCTTAGCTTAATAAAGTAACTTATCTTATTCTTTATCCTTTTGTAGTATGATTATTATACAAGTTTTTCTGGTTTGCCTATTCAGGGCAATGATATGGATTCTTCAAGGGGTGTTTTAGCTGGAACAATGGATAAATTTAAGATGGTATCGTTATTTACTGTAGATGACATTTGTTTCATTTTGGCTTGATGAAATGTGTTGCTGGTTTGAGCCGTTTCCATGATTTTCAGGTATTCGAGACAAAATCAAGCCGAAGGATGTTCACACTCGTGGCCTCATTTGTGGTTCTGTTTTTGGTGGTATACTATCTCACTAGGTAATTAGTAATGTGAACAGAGATATGTTCTGGATTGAAAGATGCTTGGCTGAGATTCTGATGTCAACATTACTGTCTCACTGTAAAAAAGTCTTGACTTTGTCTAGCTGTGTAAAAGTGTTCCTAATACAATATATATATATTTTTTTAAGCTCTCCCAAATTAGGAGGATCTACAGTGTTTTCACACTTCCCCTCTAATAATACAATAGACAGTTTTAAAGTATACAATGTGCATCTTTGAATATACCGAGGGGAAAATCAGTGTAAGCCTACACTATTTAGAGATCATACACATAAATTGATAGGGAATGCAAATTATTGTTGTATCTAACAGTTTTGAGAAGGAAAGTTGATGAAGTTCCGTTTACTGAAACAATCTCTGTTAGTTTATTGTTGAGTGTAATAATTACATAACTCGAATTTCCAAATGATGTTTTTTAAACTGTTCTAGTATGAGAAACAGGTGGTTCTTGCGTTCGTGTAATATTTGACTCTATCATATGTGTGTGTGTGTAAATTAAGGATTTTGATTTATTATTATACAACTGTAATATTTGTCTAAATTTATATGCATTATCCATTATTGTATATCTAAATGATTGTGTTTACTTATATGCATGGTATAATGTGTATTTAATTGTGAATTTAAAGAAATATAAATTTAAAACATGTTATATTAATTGTTTATAAAAAAATGTTATTTAATATACAAAAAGTAATATCATTAGTGAGAATATTATTAAATAAAAGATTATCCGTGTAAAAATCTCTTTTAAGGAATTAGCTATAAATAACTATCTATTTTGTCGTGTAGGTTATTCAAAAATCACTTACAGGTAGCCAGATGGTATATGATTTTCACTTATAGTGTAAAATTATTTGAGTCAAGGCCAGGTCAAGAGTTAAACCTGCAACTCAAGATTAATTGACGCTGAACACTTAACAGCTTAACACTAACATTATAGTTTGCGGCAGGGGCGGCTCAAGCGCACGTGAGGCCTAAGGCGAAAGTTTAATATGGGCTTAGGTATTTATAGGAACGTTATAATATATATTTTTATTTAAAATCTTATTCTCCTAGAATCTAGCTATTGGTGCCAAGATGGTTTTGAATAACCAGATGCATATTTTCTTGTTGACATAATTATATTTTAAAAAAATTTAAACAATATCTACATAGTAAAATTAATAAAATAATAAATAACAAATAAAAATAACACTAGAGAAAGTTAGAATGATATTACCCAATGACTGACTGATTCAAGAAGTTTGAAGACTTTGATTCCAAAATATCTAGTTGTTGGCTTGTTAGAATCTTGGAGAAAGAAAGAAATATAATAGAAAGAACTTATCATTGTTAGAGCCGGTCCTGGTTTGCGGGTTACGGGTTCGATCAGCAAAGTATGAGCTTATCATTTATAATATACGAAATCTGCAAGTACTTTTGTTTTAAAAAAAAGGAATAACTCATGCATTCATTGCATATTATCACAAAAAAATGAATAGTTTGTGTATACTATAATCTAGGAAGGAAAACAAATGTTCTGGCCTAGATTTAGCCTAGAAAGATGAAGCTATCAATATCATAGATAATGATAGAAAACATAAGGAGATCTCCCATGTATGTAGTCAAATTTGATAAAATACAATGCACTTCATTTATATGTCGATATATCTAAATTTTAAAATATGTGATGTTACACGTCAATATTTGACCATCAAGGGGTATGCAGAATTATTGAGATCCCCCACAACCAAAGGTTAAGAGTTCAAGTCATAAAAAATGAGAATATATATTCTCCTCAGTATATAGTCTTGATGGGCAACAATTTACTCTCCTCAGTGAACTTATCCGGTGTGGATCCAAATTAGTCGGGTCAACAAATTCTGAATACCAAATGCCTAATATATATTCCTGCCACTCCTAATCAAATTTATAACTTAAAATTTTACGTATATCATAATATATTGTTCAAGGAAAAGAAGAAAAAGGAAGAATAAAAATATAGCAGCTATTAATTGGAGTTTAGAGACAACAACAACAACAACCCAGTATAATCCAACTAGTGGGGTCTGAGAAGGGTAGTGTGTACGCAGACCTTACCCCTACCCTAGGGTAAAGAGGTTGTTTCCGATAGAAACTCGGTTCCCTCCCTCCAAGAACTCCCCACCTTGTTCTTGGGATAACTCGAACTCACAACCTCTTGGTTGGAAGCGGAGGATGCTTACCACTAGAGCAACCCACTCTTGTCTAAAATATTTTGGAGTTTAGAGAGAACTAAATATTTGACACTAAGTTAACTCCGTTAATGAATTCACAACACTCTCAGATAAACAACTATTGACATAGAAATATGTGAAAACTTAAGGAATAAGGAGCTAATGTTATATAATGAAATCATCAATAATCTAAACAACTTGCTTTCTTTTTCCTCTTTACTTTGGACCTCCTCAAATCTGGAGAGAAAACAATAATCCGAATTCACATCACAAATCGCGAAAATGAACACAAACAAGTTCTTGAATACCATATAAAACAAAACAAATCACTTGTATTATTGGCGTTGAGGTATAAGAAGAATGGGTTTACGCGAGCCTTTTCATCGAAACCAACATATATCCCAAATTACTCTTGTGATTTTGTTGCAAAAATATGCTCACAGATTTTACTGCTATTTGAAGCAATGCATTGATCTCTTTCACTTAATGGATTTGTGTGGGAAATTCCCAAAAGTTGTCCTCCCAAATTTACAGAAACAACAAGGGTTGCACACATAGACGAATCCAAGATTTTAAAAATCAGTGGTATAGAGTACCACTGCATCCACTCTTACTTTGTAGTGGGGGATACAAATTTAGAATTAATATATATTTTTCAAAAAAAATTAGCTGTATGTATTGTTCTCCACTGCCCCCTCATAGTACAATGGTTGGACATGATTATTGGCGCGTCCGCTCTGTGCAGTTTACTAGCTGTTCAATTAAACCTGAAAAAGAGTTAAAAAGTCCACAAAGAAAAATAAGTCATGCACCAAATAGAAAGCTCCTTTAGAGAAAAGGGAAAAAATAGAAAAGATACTGTAGTTACAAAGAAAACAGGCATTAGTAGAACAAATTCAATTGTTAAGAACAAAAAGAAGAAGCTGGACGTCTAAACTGAGATACTCGTATAACCAAAATCAAGATAAATCGAGCTATTTCAGCATGAATGGTATGTCCTCAAAGAATCAATTATCTACATAGGAATCGATCATGAGATGTTTATTCTGCATTTATTGAACATTGTATGACCTGATCAACGCATCCATACGCACCTCCATAGCTCACACAAATCAAAGACGTGGGCTGCAAGTTCCCAGGACTGAATTCTTATTGAGGGCGATTAGTCTGCACGTGGCAATAAGAAACTGAAGCCTGAATTTTCTCGAATAAGTGGGGGTGGTTCGATGTCTGCAATATCAATCTGATCCATTGATTTAGAGAGGTCATCAATTGAGAACGGTATGCTGCACCATTATCACCAAGTGTGATCAGCAATCAGTGAAAAGTTCATTCTCAGGACGTGGTGCACAGAAAGGAAGAGGCAAAAGTTTAGGATAATAAAATCTCATAACCAACCTCGAATCATCATCAAGCAAAAAAGAATTGCTGACTGCATTGTTAGAGTCTTCAGTCATTAATACACGCATATTGGAAATAACCTGTCAAATAATTGATAAATTCTATTCATTATATGCTAGGAGAGGACAAAAGTAAGAAGATGTGGGGCAACTAAAGAAGCAGGAGACAATGTTCAAAGCTGCATAAGCCAATCCCAGCAAGAAATAATGAATTCATACTTAGTGAAGCAGGGATTGAGGACATACTATTGAAAAATTGTTGTATCTAACTTGAGAATGGCCATAAAATCAATATGCACTACATGACGCAAAGGAACATCAAAATTATAGACCATTTGGTACCAAAATAACATCTAGAATATTTGCTGGACATAAGTTATGGCTTACATCTGGCGAAAGGCTATGTGTGCCATATTTGTCATCCCAATACATTGTGCTGATTCTGTAAAGTTGTTGAATGCTAAGCACCTGTTCATAATTCACAACTTAATGAAAATGATAACGTATGGGCTCAAGATATAGCTCTTCGGAATATGTAGTTGTCCAGTACTTACAGGACATAGATCGTGACTTATTTCATCCAATGTCTTCTTTGGCTTCTGGTGTATGACCTGGCATTGTCAAAAGGAACATAATTAAGGATTTCTGCTGATGAAATATGGACAAAGCTCATTCCAAATTCTTTGGAACTACAGTTTTTAGGTTTGTTCACTCAAATTTTGTGACACATATCTTCAATCATGATCATATTGCATAGCAATAAGTATGAAAAGAGATTTCTGTTAGTACAGGGCAAGGACATAAATTTGTAATTGTGAAAGAATCTGAAATCCAACCCAAAACCTTAACACAATGGGTGCACTAACCCAGGACATTATAAGTTCCTTTGGAAACCTTTACTCAACCAATGAGGGGCAGCTGTTTTGCTTTAACACCCTCCCGGATGTGTAATCTGGTTCTAATGTGTACACGTGGACTGATTTTATTGCTCGATGGGTTGAATTGATAGTGAGAGAGAGAGAGAGAGAGAGAGAGAGAGAGAGAGAGAGAGAAGCCCAGTGCAGCTGATGGGCTGAGTTGAGAGAGAAGCCCAAAGCGATAGATGAAGAGAGAACGAAACCCAAAACCTTAAGGCAATGGGAGGAGAAGCCTGGACATTATGAACTCCTTTGTAAACCCTTTGAGGCACAAATGTATTTCTCAAACATTACCACTAATTTTCTTCTATCTTATATTACTAGGCAAAATCTTGCTATTGTTTTTTATCAAAAAATATGCACTAGATAGCGGTGTCCTTTGCCTTTGCTCTCTTTCAGTTTATACATTCAATTTTCTCTTTAATCCAGATTAGAAGATGCATTACCAAAAATCCAATTGCCTGTCTTATATGTTTGAGCTCCTCCCAAGCTAGTCCTGCATACTGAACAAGTTCCTTTCATCAGTGAGAAAAAAGAGTGGGTGAATAATGTTTAACAAGTGGCAGGAGACCAAGGTACCTCATCAGTTGCTTTGTAGCACCAGTGTTCCAGTTCTGCCAAGCCAGTTTTTACATACTCACCGTTGCTAAATGAACAGCATTCTCTTCTCAGCAAAAGGCTACAGCAAGGAGGCACAAATAAAGAAATATAAGGTTTAGACGTTTAGTTGATAGTTGAATCTTGAAGTAAAAAAATATTATGAGATGCCCCTTGACAACAAAGTGAACAAACCTGTTAAATAATTGGACATTGATGAAAGAAAAGACTTG